CACATGAACCTATGGGTTCAGGGCTATCCTATGGTCAGGGTCCCTGCTGAGGACCCATGCTCTTGGGTTGTGCAGCCTGCTTTCTACCAAGAAGGGAGGGAAACCACAGCACTCTGGCAGAGTCCCAGTGGAGTTACAAGAAAAGATACTGTGCTGGGGGCAGGGTCAAAGATAAGACCCTCAGGGTGGCACCTGGTAGGCAGGTGACACCTGCACACAGCCGAGTCAGGGAACCAAGGATCACAGACTGTCTGCCTGAGCTGGAGGACAGACCAAAAGGAGGCCCAATCCGTTCAATTGCAGGCCCAGGTGACCAGTTGGAGATGGCAGCCATGCTTGGTCAAACAAGTTCCTTCCACTTTTTGGGGGAGAGGGGGTATAGCAGGGAGAGATGCAGTTGCGTCTGCAAGAAAAACATCCCCAAATCTTGAGGCTTGGAAAGTGGCTCCTGGGGCCCAGCACGGTAGTCTAGTGGCTAAAGTCCTTGCCTTGCATGCACTAGGATCCCATATGGGTGCCGGTTCATATTCCAGCAGCCTCCCTTCCCATTCTGTTCCCAGCTTGTAGCCTGAGAAAGCAGTCGAGGACAGCCCAAAGCCTTGGGACCTGCATGTGGGAGACCTGGAAGAAGCTCCAGGCTCCTGGCTTTGGATTGGCTCAGCTCTGGCTGTGGTGGCTACTTGGGGAGTGAATCATGGATGGAAGATGTTACTCTGTCTCTCCTCCTCTCTATATATGACTTTCCAATAAAAATCAAATAAACCCTAAAAAAAAAAAAAGAAAAGAAAAAAGAAAGTGACTCCTGGAATGGAGCCAAGAGACCACAGCTCCCACAACACAGCTGGGAAAAGGCTCTGGAGAAAAGTGCTTCCCACGGTGAGGTGGCTGCAGCTCTGTAAGCATGCTGACTCCCACAGCCTTGGGAGAAACAATGATTTCACGTCGACTTTTCTATCTTCCCAGAGAGAAAGGCCACCTGTTTCAGTGGCAAGTTTCACAAACAAACAAAAAAGCATCGTCAGCGGCTTCCATTCCTCCAGAAGAGCCGAGGGTGACTTCAACACAGTTCCACCCACGGGGATGCAACCCGGGGCACAGAAGGGGCAAGGTGGTGTTTCCATTTCCTGTCGGGGCCCAGGCACACTGGGCATCTTTCTCTGGGGATACCATTCGGACAGGACGTGCAGGAGGCAGCCAGCTCTCTCTGTGCTGCTTTCACCCTCTGTAGAGATGGAGAGACTGTTATAAGACACACAAAGAAATCCACACAGACCTGCCGCTGGGTGAGGCCTGGGCCGGCAGCTTAGCCCATTGGTGCAATGGCTAGTCTTTGAAAAATTCAGACCTGAGTGCTCAAGTCTCACTCTTTGGTGCAGGTGAACTCACTTGGGAGGGAATGGGAGACACATCACGAGATTTTGCTGTGTGTGTGTGTGTGTGTGGCAGGAGATGACAAAGTATAAACAGCTCACAGCCCACTACAACCAAATTATCATTGGACATCAGAGTAAGAAGCTGGGAAGAAACTAGGCCTATTCACTAACATGACCCAGAAATTACGGGTTCTATTTCTGGACTGGGTTTTGTCTATGGAACCTAGAAATCACTTAGGCATTTCAACGCTCCAACTTCTGTCAAAAGGAAGGCAGGCAGCGGTGCTAGGGCCATGATGGATTGAAGCAGTGCGCTCCTGGGAAGCTGGTGCGCCTTCCCCCTGGGGTCTCTTCTACAGGGCCTTTGGGGCTGGGACAGGAGGGCTGTGTGGTTTCCTATTCTTTGAAGGCTACTGAAAATTACAAGTAAAAATAGAACACATCCTTTCCACAGCAAACGTAAGGAAGGGAAGTGAGGTGCTAAGCTTTATCCCACCCCTGCACTTCAACAGCATGTCCCTCGAGGAGCCCGATGTGCCCTGAATGGCCTCAAAGTGGACAGTGGGCCAATCCTTCCCACAGCCCCTCAGGCACTGGTGTCAAGGTTTTGGAGTCTGAATTGGTTCTGTTTTTGATCCTGTCTTCCTTATTACCTAAGTGATGAAGCTATAATGAATATTACATTTGACAATCAAATGAGGTCTATTTTGATTCTTTCAAAACATTCTGATCACTTAGCCACCTATTATTGCTATTGCTACCTAAAGCACAGAACAGAGTTCTAGGGTTATTTCAGAATTTATAATTTAAAAAATTACAATTCTGATTTCTGATTGTACTAAGAGTCGACAGAGTTTTGGGTGAGCAGACTGGGGCAGTTCTGTGCACGCCCACAGATCTGGCACTCAGTGTCCTCCTGTCCTGTGGCCACAGCTGAGTCTGGAAAGCAGGGCAGTGGGCAGAGATGTTCACTGAGCATTATCAGTAGCAACAATTCACAGCCACATTAGCAGTTACAGCCAACTGCTTAAAACCTGGGTCTGTCACCCTTTCCCCAAAGTAACAAGCAAGGTGTCATCTACTGAGCATCTCTGACCCTCCAGGTGCTCTACCGATGCATTCTTCACGTCTTCTCAAGAAGCAAGAAAAAGAAACACCCACATTGACTCACACTACGACAGCACAAGGGTGGTCCCTGACTTCTCAGAGTGGACAGCAAGCTGGTCCTGGGTCGCAGCTGGCAGGGACTAGACCCTGGAGGCCAAGGGAGATTCATCTCAAAGGATTCGAGACCCATGTCTGAAATCTGCACACAAGTCACTGATTTTTGGTTTTTGTGTGTTTTCTTTTTTTTTTTTTTTTTGGTCTGCAAAATTTTAATAAGCAATAGCTGGACAACTCTTACAAGTTCAAATTATTAAGAAAAAATGAGATTAATCCATCTCAATAATAGACAAACCACATCATTTTGAATGCAAACCACTGATGCCTTCTAGAATACCTCCCACACAGTCTAATACACAAAAATACGTAAAAGGCAGATAAGGATGAGCTCATTACAATGCAACCAGGATTTTCAACAGAACTTGCTTAGAAAGTAAAAACAAAGCTGGATGCTTAATAAGAAAATAATAATAATAACCCCCCAATAAACCAACATTACAGGAATCGAGGTGCACAGCAACGCACACCTTCCACAGGTCTGGACGACAACATGCTGGTGGTCGTGTCTGTCCAGGACCTAAGGAGCTGCAGTACACACTTAGAAGTTTGAACAAAAAAAGCCAGTAGTAATAAATTCAGAAGTTATGCCCAAATTTACAGTACCAAAATAATGCATTTATAAACAAATGCAAAAACAATACCCCTTTGGTAAATAACACAGTGCCTTTTCTTCAGTCAAACGCATAATCCATGCTTGTCTAGGACACAGAAAAAAATTGTTTTATCTACAATAAACAATGAGATCTTAGAAGCCTATTCTTCCTCTTAAAAAGAACTTGAAAACAGAAAATACAAGTAGTACAAGTAAAGTTACAGAAAAATTGCACAAAGCCAAAGAAAACAAAAAACAAAATAAGTTGCGAGCTCGTAGTTTTACCAGCTGGAGAAAATGAAATATGCAGAGAACAGTCTGGAGTTCCAGCCTCTGACAAGATTCCCAGGAACTCAGAACAGTTTAGATACATTTGTCTCAGTGAACTGCGCTTGCCACTACTGACCGGGCCCAGGGGCACACCGGCCAGGCCACACAACTGCCAGCGAGTGACCCAGCAGCACACAGCAGAGTCCCCGCCAGCCCCTGCAGGCACAGGTACGGCTCTGTTTTCTCCTGCCAGTTCTGGGGGCAAGCGGTGACTTCCTTCAGGGCTGTTCTCAAGGGCTTGAGCTATGCGGGGCATGTTCATTTGGACACACACCCCGTCCAGCTTAGAGTTGGAGCTTGTGTGTCGTTGTAGGAGAGTAAGTACCTGTCCAGATGCATTCTAGGGACTCAACTTCCAGAGACTGTTTTCAATGCACTGGTTTCTAAGCAGGAGGCAGGTGGTTACCACAGGGAAAGATGCGCTCTCTACACAAAGGCAAACTGTGAGTTTTGGGGGTTGGGCAGAGCGGGGCCAGAGGGGAGTTCAGAACATAGTTCAGGCCTACATCTCATCTTACAGATGGTCCCACGGTGGCCTGGCCAGTGCATGGGACTTGCCCAGGATCACTCTCCTACTCTGCGGCAGGATTAGCTCAGCCCTGGACTCTCCTGGGTGCCAGCACATCTCTGCGTGCACTTGTGGGTCACCTGATGAGGGAGCCATGGCTGTGGACAGACACCAGGCTGCAGGGCCTGCGTCTGCTGGAGCTGCTGAAGCCCTGAGACAGACCCCTGCTTCTCTGGTCCCAGCTTCTACTGGAACATGCACCCAGCGGGCAGAGCTTCCCCAAACCCATACTTCTGTTTGGATGAGGCTATTGCTAATGCCTAGTTGAAGATGGGGTCTTTTATTTGTTAACATACTGCTTCTCCAGAAAAGCCAGGGATTTGTTGTGTAGCTGACTTTGGAATGGACTAGCGATTCCACGAGGTATCTTGTGATTCCTAAGTGGCTACTACTAAACATTAAGTACCTAGGATTCTGCAACTTATAGCACTAACTTCAGTGGTATTTAATCGGTAGAGACAGGATGGACATCGTCCTAGCGTGTGGAATCACCACCCTGAGCCACAGACATGGTCTAATTTGCTGCTCTTCTGGTCTGGGGCAGGGCACAGGGGTCTGCTGCCTCCCCAGACCGACCCCAGGAACAGGCACTTCCAAAACAGGTAGCCTGTTTGGGGAGCAAGTTAAGAACTTAGAGACGCAATCAGTCGCTTGATTGCATGAGCTTTCTCAACAAGACTCTGGCCCTCTGTCTGCACTTACTAAAGCCCTAAAATGTCTCCCCCTTTGTCTCAATGAGAACGCACAAACCAGAGGCACAATTTGTGACAGCTCCTTCCTTTGCTACTCTCACATTCTAATGGATCTTTCCATTTCACATCCCCTTTCACTTTTCATCAAAAATAAAATCTTCAAACCAAGGGAAAATATTATTTTAGAATATGCTATCTGAAATAAATAGTTTTGCTCATAATCAATATCATAAAACATTAGAAGAAATTTATTTTTAAAGGACTAGTAGGGATTTTTTTCCCATTTAGAAAAATCTTACAAATTCTCCAGCCAAAAACCCCCTTCTCTCATATCCTCTTTATTTCTCGCAGTAAAATATACTTCTACCAAGTAAGCTGTTACAAAGATACTAGTTTTCTAAATAAATAATAAGATGGGTGTAACTCACCAATACATAGTAACAAAATAATTCCTAATACTATGAAAAGCAAGATAAATAATTACCTCTTGGACAAAACAACAGGGGAACTGCTTTTAAATTATTTTAGAAACAGGCTACAACAATTATTGCACCATTAATAATAAGCATTGAAACATTCTACCAAGCTACAGAAACTCATATAAAGAATTAGATACTTCTGAAAAGACTAACCAGTTCTTTCTGGAAAAAATTCACCCACCAAAATTAGCTCCCATGGTTTACATGTGAAACAGGATACTCGGCACTCGGCACCAGACACCCACCACACGTGAAAGCCTCGCCAGGGCCTCTGGAGCACGGGATGGAGGGTAGTGACGTCATCTCACTGTGGGAAACGATGGACCACTTCACTTCCCCCCAGTTTTTAAACGAAAATAGGGAACTAAAACAGCTTTTAGCATCTTCCATTGGTACGTTTTCAAACAAAACCTGTGCTTAAACATCACAGGTGTGAAGAGCTGAAGAGCAAACCCAGGGCTTGTTACTAGGTAATGAAATCTTGCCCAAGATGAGGGAGGTAGGAAAAATATGATGCATGGATTTTTTCCAACTAACAAAGAGTCAACAACCATCTACTTTAAGTACTACGATGGTCAACGTTCTGAGTGGTATTTCTCCTTAGTAAGCAGTCTGCCCAGTTAATGAAGAGCTTCTCTTGGGTTTTGGCATAGGGAAGATGGTAGAACTCCTGTCAAACCTTGGCCATACTCCTGCCTTGCAATGATCTGGCAAATGCTCTGGGTTCTGTTTGGTGTTGGAAAACATTTCTGGAAAACTGAAATCTTCAGGTTGCCAAGAGGTGGGGGAGGAGTGGGTTTAAGTCAAGTCTTGCCCACACTGGCACAGAGGACAGCAGAGAGCAGTGGGGGTCCACTGCACAGACCCTCCAGAGTAGCCACTAGGAGGGGACCGGAAGGGCAGAGGTGGTTTCTCCAGGTGGGATGTGGTGACTCACCACTGGGCTGCTGCTGCTGCAGCCACAGCCTTTTCCGTTTTTCACCGACTCCTAAGTCAGCTGTCCCTACTAGGAGCTCCTCATGGGCCTTCTGCACTGCCAACCTGGTGGGAAACCAGTGGGGTCTCAGAGTGCAAGGTGGCCCTTCTCCACGGTAGGTGTGCAGGGCACAGTGCACCAGTCTGCGTGTACAACCCCTCCCCCAGCAGCCGCTGCCTGATGTCACTGGTGAGCCGAGCACACTAATGCTTGGTGACAGCACCCTGGAAAGTGCCTACTTTTATTCATCAAATACAGTGCACTTGCCCAAATAGCCTCTGTGTATCAAGTCTCCCTCTTGGGGGGCAAACAGAGAGGGTGTGAATTAAATACCCCCTCCCCAAAAGAATCTGCATCTTCAGGATTTTTGGCTGTGGTTTTTTTTTTTATGATTTTTGTGTCCACTAGTGGTGATACTGGAGGAGTGACAAAACTAGAGGTCGTGGAGGGTGAGCAGGAATGCATTCTCCCTGTGTCTAGAACAGCAGGCGAGAAGGCAGTCCGTCTTCACCCCGAGGGCCCCAGGCTGGCCAAACTCCACCAGCCCCGTCCACCTGCTGCAGGAATGAAGGAGCACCAGCACCCTGCACCTTCCCACACCACCCTCCCAACAAAAAGAAAGGAACTCAATGAATGAGAGCCAAAACCCAGACGAATGACAGTGACTGCAGGTCAGGCCCCGTCTCAGCCAGGGCCGCTCCCAGTGGTGCCGAGGTCTCCTGGTGCCCTACTGCAAGGCCACACAGGCTCCTTCTCAGGGGCCCACGCCAGCCTCTTCACTTGAGCCGCTGAGTCACATTGGCCAGGGCCACGGCGAAGGCCTGCACGGCTGAGAAAGGGTACTGGAAGTCCAGGATGTAGGCGTTGCCATCAATCCGACCAAACTGCATCACCTGCGGGGAGGGGCACAGATGTTAGTGAGAACCAGGTGCAGAAGGGAGCTGTGCAGCTCACGAGGCCAACGCCGCCTTAGAGGGTTCCGGGCTTGGCCTGGCCCAGCCCAGCGGCGCTGGGTCCGACGGGCTTCTGGAGTTCCTGTTTCTGCAAGAAAGGGGACCCAGCAACACCTTCTACAGTGTGAGGGCAGACATGAGCACAACTCAGTCTTGCTTCCGCAGCCCAGGAGAACACAGTGGAGAAGGACAACTGTGGCTGGCAACCTTCATGGCCGCAGGGGATCCGGCACCTTCCCGCCATGCGGCCTCTCCCCTCCTCACTACCTCTGTGCCCACCTCACAAGAGCTTAGCAGACCCCACTCAGGCTTGAATGCTAGGCTGCCTGTGGTCGTGAAGGCAGGGCTTCCCTCCACTGTCCATCTCCCACTTAGAGCAGGGGGCACACGCCCGTGAGGGTAGAACAGCAGGCACCTCAGGCTACGGAAGGCGGATGGAGGGCCACAGTCACTCCATTCTGTGCACTCAGGAAAAGGCAGCAGTGGGCCAGACTTCAGAGCAGGACCTGCCCGCTTCCCAAACGTGGTGCGCAGAGGCAGCCTGGGAGCCCAGCATGCTGACTCTGGCTGAGAACCGCCAGGCAGCTGGCAGGCCCTAGATAGATGTCTGTGGAGTTTATCAGTGAAAACACAAAACTAAATGCAAGAGGGGAAGGAAATCCCAGACGGTGACAGATAACAGGGCAAGGGGAGGGCAGCCACCCCAGACTGGAGCCTGGAGACTGTCCTAACAGCCACTGCTCGACTACACCAGGAGGAGAGAGCAGTAAACACAGAAACACAGTGAGCAGATGCAGGGACTTTGTGCAGGTCAAGGGAAAACTCACTAACCCAGCCCCACCAGACGCGGCTCTGCCACGAACAACGGGGAAGCCAGTGGCTAAAGCTTCTCGTGGGAAACAGAGGCGGGGAAAGGAAAGTTCCTGTGTACACGGGGAAGGGTGGGTGCAGAAAACAAGTCCTCAGGAAGAAGCCAACATACAACACCAAGAAACAGAAAAATCAGTGAACGTAAGCAGAAAGCATAGCTCCTTACCAACAGGATGGCCAATGCCCAAAAAACACAGTGGGCTGGGAGCACCTGCTGGGGGCAGAGGGCAACCAGGCAGACACCTCCAAAGTCACCTGATGGGCCTCCCAGACTATGCAAGCACCACTCAGTGCACACAATCTCATCAGTGAGAGGTGAACCCAGAAGAGCTCCCCTGCTGGCTCTGCCCCACCAAAAATGCTCCCAAAAGCCGAGATGCCCCGAGCCAGAACACACTGGGCTCCCTTACCTGCCGTCCCTCCAACTCAATCTGGAAGTTCTTGGCAGACTCCTGGGTCACCCGCCCTCCGAAGTCCAGCTGGTAGACCTGCGTGGCCTCATTCCACAGGGGCTGCTTGTTGGCCATCACATACACGAAGCCCTGGCTGCCCAGCCGCCCGTCCTCCTTCTCGCTGGCCTTGCGGCACTTGGCCTCCTCCAGCTCGCTGGCCGTGCGCAGGTTCCTCTTGCTCTTCCAGCCCTTCCGGCCGCCCTGGCTCTGGTTCATCAGCTCGTCCCCGCTGATGAACAGCTCGGGCTCGCTCTCAGAGCTGTCCTGGAACTCGTTCGTCTTATTCAACTTCTTTGACTTCAGCTGGTCTTTCTGACTCTTGACTTTCTTCTTCTCCCTCCCGAGGCGGGGGCTGGAGATGAGGGAGTTGAAGTCACCCAGAGCCCTGGCCTCCTTCTTCACTTTGCCCTCAGTGATGGCCTGGACGCTTCCCTCCTCCGCTCGGCTGTCCAGGCGCTTCCGGTTCTTCTTGCCAAACTTTTCTGTCCGCTGGGGGACGGGGCTTTCTGTCAGGGAGAGGACTTCCTGGAAGTTGTCTGCTGTCTCCACCATCACCTCTGTGCCCATGTGGCTTTGGAGGTCAGTGGGTGGTGGGGACACGAGGGGCTTCTCCACCACCAGGTGGGGCTTTGGAGGGAGAGTACCCTGGGGGTTCTGCATGGGGGGGCAGGTGCTATAGGAACTCCAGGGGTGCAAGGCGATAGCTGGCAGCTGTAAACTGGAGCACGTGCTGCCTCCGGGGTACATGGGGGGCAAGGTGCAATACGGGGAGAGGCCAGGCGGGTACGTGGGCTGAAGGACCATAGCAGACTCTGGTTGTGCAAACTGGGCTGGTGCCAGGGCATCTTTGGGGGCACAGGGAGCTGGCACTCCGGTCAAAGGGGGGTTGTTGTAGCTTCCTGGGTACGGTACTCCCATCCCATAGCCTGTCTGGAAAGTGGCAGTAGGGCTGGCTGGAGACTTGGGGGAGACGAAGGGTACTCGGGATACTTCCAGGTGCTGGCCCTGACCAAGCATCAGAGGGGGCAGTTTTAAAGGGTTGGGTGTTGCAGTCTGTGCTGTCCTTTCCTGAGGTACCCAAATGTCCTCACCCAGCACAGGGTCCCACTGGTAAGGGGGTGGCCGCTTCACAGGGACAGCAGCTTCGGGCAGCGGGGGGTGCCTCAGTGGCTTCTCGGGCTGACAGTGCTGGGACAGGGCCTCATCCTCTGTGAAGGCCGAGTTGACGTAGTCGGTGCGGTCACGGGAGCTGTCCGGGGGGCTCAGGAGACTGTAAGAGGACTGGGAGGCCAGTGGGGAGGTGCTGACCGCGTGCGCCAGCACGGCACCCGGCTGCGGGCTGCACTGGCTGCAGGTGTACAGGGCAGGCGGGGGGCGTGCGGGGAGCTGTACCCCAGCAGGGCCGCCCTTGGGCTTGGCCGGCGGTGGCTGCAGGGGAGCTCGAGGGCTGTCAGCCACCTGGGCCATCTTGAGTGTGGCCTCACGGTTGTTCCTCCGCAAGGTGGCATGGATGAGGCTACCATCCAGCCTCTGGACAGCACTTCGCCCTTGGGCCAGCTGGCTGGCAATCTCAGGGTATGGAGGTGGGTCCCCCGTGGGGATGGAGTAGCGCGGGATGGTGAGGCGGTTGAGGGTGGCACTGGTGCAGGGCTGGGGGACCTTCTTCTCGGTGGCCGTGAGCCTCAAGGTTGCCGAGCTGCCCGGGCCTGGGAGGGTGTAGGTGTTCTGGGAGCAGAGCATCCGTGTGCGAGGCCGACATACCTCCTCCACGTTGCCACTGCTGTCGAAGGTGGTGATCCTCTCGTAGCCCAGCGGGGTCTGGTAATGCACAGACGTGGGGTACAGGGAGAAATCACCCTTCTTCAAGCACATGTCCACGGGAGGCTGAGGTGGTGGCAGAGGGGGTGGGGGTGCCGCAGTAGTGGGAGCAGCAGGGATGGTTCCTGGGTATGGGGGCGGGGGGTTCATCTTTGCCACCTGGATCTCCTGCGGGGCACTGAAGACCACAGCGTCCCCCTCGGCAGCCAGCTGGGGCACTGGCCGCAGGGCCTTAGCTGGCTTCTGCAGGTGCTCCTGGTCTCGCTCTCCATGGTCCACCACTGATAACTGTAGTGCTCCCTGTGGCGGTGGTGGCAGGGACAACTGAGGGGGGTTCTGAACAATACGGCCCATCTCTACACCTCCAAAAATCACCTGTCCAGGGCTAGAATACCGGTTGGAGATGGGATACTGGCTGGCATTGTCACCTGCATGGTCTGCTGCTCCTACAGCTGTTGTCTGATTGGTCAGGACATCCAGCTGCACATTCTGATTGGCCAGCAGGGACTGCACCAAACCAATGCTCTGGGTAGGTGACATAGCTTGAGCTGAGCTGTGGATCGGTGCTATAGGGATGTTCACGGTACAAGGCGGGTTGTTCTCAGGGACACCAGACGCTCCTGTCACTGCAAGGAAATTAACAAAAAGAACTGCTAATAAAGCACTGTGATGAAATTGGGTCAGAATAAGCAATATATCTGGATGCACACAGTCCTTTTGTAACACGTGATGCAATCCCAATAAACTGAGATGTGTTTGCTTGGGGAAATCTAGGCTGTTCCCAAAGCTTCCTTTTTTTTTTTCCCTGGAAGCACTATAGGCATCTAGTGGTTCTGCAAGCAGCCTGCCCACAGTCCATGAGCCAAGGACATTATCATGACTTCTGAGTTTGTAACTTTTGAATTTACCATCATGTCCATGAGCTGTACCATCACCCTTCGTATTTTAAAGAAGTTCTTAAATATTCATAAAGTGCCCACCCTTTTATGCAAGAAGGATGCAATGAGGATTCACAATGCCAGAACACCTGAGTAGGCTTATCCAGGATTTACTGATGGCTATGGAAAGTCTCATGTAACTGGTGTGTATCTAAAAGTTTACATGTGCAAATCAAATCTCTGTAAATAGAATAAACCAGCTTACCTGCTAAAATACACTTCAGACAGTGTGCAAAGCAGGGACACAAGTAGCAGTAGCGTGTGAATACAACCCAGGCAGACACGGGAGAATGCAATGGAGTATGCATGTGAGCAAAGACCCAAGGACAAGTTTGCAGTACACAGTAAAACCCTCCAGCTCATCCAAAGCTAAGGCCACACTTGGCACCTGAAACTGCCTCCCTCCTGTCTCCTGGGGTGCTTTTGCAACACTTAGCTGGTCTTGGCACAAATCTGTGTCCTGGATCACATTTCCTATAGAAGCCCTCTCATCTGCAAGGAGCACAGAAGAGAAGGGTCTCCTGGCTGAGCCGCTGTCACTGAGTATAAGCCGCCCCTCTTGTTGGGAACCACAAACAGCACCTGCAGCTGAACAGGTGTTCAAGGGAAGGTATCAGAGCATATCTCTGAACGTAGGGTTCTGTTGGAAAGCACAGATGTGGAAGGCCTCACCATGCTGTGGCTCTCCATCTCAGCAGTATAATGTGCAAACTGCAATTGTAAGGACCTGAAACAGATGTTATCTTGAACCTAGGCTGGGTCTCTGCACATTGAGCTCTGCAGTACAGGGTGGAAGACAGGTGTCCTGGAGAAGGGGCAGACCTTGAGCCCTGGCGAGAGTGGGGGCATACTCCTGGTGGGGACTCTAAGGACAAAGGCTGTCTGTCACTGATTGTCCCGGGTCCTGCTTGCTTCTCTGTATTCATGCACCCCACGAGAGTTACTGTGAGGATAAAGGTAGATGGGAGACACGCCCAATGAGCATGAACTCCACTGCCACCTCAACCTGTGCAAACCTCAGGCACTCCACTCCCTCCACAAGCAGTGTCCATCTGTGTGACATGGCGACCTCAGCCACCAATCTTAACGGTTAACGGTGGCCTTTTCCAAAACAAGGGTGGTATAGCAGCCTGTAATGCTCAGTGATGTCCCACTCTGTTCCCCTACCTTGGGCCACTAGGAAAGGACTGTGACAAACAGGGCAACACATGTGAACGCACCTGGTAAATCATCTTCATCCTCACTGAAAACATTTGGGTTGAAGACAGGTAAGTTAATATAGTCCATGGAAATCTTCCTGACTTCTGGGAGATAAATGGTCATCTGCCGTGGCTGGAGATGCAGCAGGCTGGTTTTATAGATTACTGGTGGGAGCAAGAGAGGCACAATTAATAGACACATGCTGGGGAGTGCTGAAGTGCCAAGTGAGCTATGGGCATAGGAACAATGGCTCTGGGAGGGAGCAACGCGGGCACCAGGAGCCCAAGAGGGGCTGCTCGTCTCTCCAGGCACACGTGCGGCCATACCAGCTGCCACTCTGGACTCAGTCACAGCAAAGCTTGGTCCAACTCAGCCCATGGGCCAGTGGCATGTCAGTAGAACTACACACACACGTGAATGTCAGAAATAAATCTTAAGACTGGGCTGTGGTATTAAAAAAAATTCACTTTTCAAAATCCTCACTTGCCACCAGAAAAACAATTCAGTGAAGAGTTGTGAGAACTAAAGTGCCAAGCTCAGGGAGGACGGGGGTGATGTGAGGGAGGACGGGGCGAGGTGAGGGAGGACGGGGTGAGGTGAGGGAGGACGGGGCGACGTGAGGGAGGACTGGGCGACGTGAGGGAGGACTGGGCGACGTGAGGGAGGACAGGGCGACGTGAGGGAGGACGGGGCGACGTGAGGGAGGACGGGGCGACGTGAGGGAGGACGGGGCGACGTGAGGGAGGACGGGGCGACGTGAGGGAGGACAGGGGTGATGTGAGGGAGGACGGGGCGAGGTGAGGGAGGACAGGGCGACGTGAGGGAGGACAGGGGTGCCATGAGGGAGGACGGGGCGACGTGAGGGAGGACGGGGCGACGTGAGGGAGGACGGGGCAACGTGGGGGAGGACTGGGCGATGTGAGGGAGGACGGGGCGACGTGAGGGAGGACAGGGGTGATGTGAGGGAGGACAGGGCGAGGTGAGGGAGGACGGGGCGAGGTGAGGGAGGACAGGGGTGACGTGAGGGAGGACGGGGCGAGGTGAGGGAGGATGGGGCAACGTGAGGGAGGACAGGGGTGACGTGAGGGAGGACTGGGGTGATGTGAGGGAGGACAGGGAGGACTGGGCGACGTGAGGGAGGACGGGGCAACGTGAGGGAGGATGGGGCGACGTGAGGGAGGACAGGGGTGACGTGAGGGAGGACGGGGCGACGTGAGGGAGGACAGGGGTGACGTGAGGGAGGACGGGGTGATGTGAGGGAGGACGGGGCGACGTGAGGGAGGACAGGGGTGACGTGAGGGAGGACGGGGTGATGTGAGGGAGGACGGGGCGACGTGAGGGAGGATGGGGCGACGTGAGGGAGGACGGGGCGACGTGAGGGAGGACAGGGGTGCCATGAGGGAGGACAGGGCGACGTGAGGGAGGACGGGGCGACGTGAGGGAGGACAGGGGTGATGTGAGGGAGGACAGGGCAACGTGAGGGAGGACAGGGCAACGTGAGGGAGGACGGGGCGAGGTGAGGGAGGACAGGGCGACGTGAGGGAGGACGGGGCGACGTGAGGGAGGACGGGGCGACGTGAGGGAGGACGGGGTGAGGTGAGGGAGGACAGGGCGACGTGAGGGAGGACGGGGCGACGTGAGGGAGGACAGGGGTGACGTGAGGGAGGACGGGGAGACGTGAGGGAGGATGGGGCGACGTGAGGGAGGACAGGGGTGCCATGAGGGAGGACAGGGCGACGTGAGGGAGGACAGGGAGGACTGGGCGACGCGAGGGAAGACAGGGCGACGTGAGGGAGGACGGGGCGACGTGAGGGAGGACAGGGGTGATGTGGGGATCTGCAGGCACACTCACTCTCACTGCAGTGAGACAGTCCAAGGGGACTTCGACATGGTTTTAGCCTTAAGGTTCAAGTTGACTAGTAGGGGCATTTAAGGGAAGGCATGGAAGGCAACTGAAATATCTGCATTCATTTCATCAAATAAATGTAAAAATAAATTTGCATATAAGTTTGACAGTAGATTACAAGCTGGATAAAACTGCCTGGTTAGTTCTGCCTGAGAAACCTTCATCTGACACAAGTAGACAGAGAGGGTCTTCCTACTTTCTGTTGAGAAGCCCTCGTTGCCCCCAAGCTGTTCTCTCGGTCACCACCCTTATTGAGGCTGCACCCCAAAACTGGACTGGGGCAGGCTGAGATGACTTTTCCTACCTGCACTCATGGGTTATCTTTTTTGCACACAAAAGAAATAAGAATTCTGGCAGAAAAAACTTCTGCATGGCTCTATAAGGCTCCATATCATTTAAGAATTAATGCACTAAGTTTTGATATTTATTGTCCATATTGACAGCAAACAAAACAAAACAAAACAAAAACTAAAAACTAAAAACTTTCAGGAGGATTACAAAAGCCCAGTTGCCTCCAGGGGAAGAAAACTGAGCAGGACAGGAGCACACAGCTCCTTTTTGTCAACACACCCACCTGTAGAAGGGAGCCACTCTGAGAAGTATCTGCTGTTTCCATTTCTTCACTGAACCAGAGGTGCACACACCAAACCATTCCCTCTTTGGGTGGGAGGGCAGAGGAGAGCCCAAATCTGGGTTACAGCCCAGCTGGATGCTCCCTTGGCTCAGTTTTCCCCATGTCTCAAACTTGCCATGGGCAGGAAATGGATCAGGTATTAGAACATGAAGTTTATTGATATTTACCACCGAGGATGGTATTAACAACTGGCCAACTTTTTACAGTCTCTAATGCTTCTTCCCCACTCTCTTCAGAACAAGCTTCTTCTGTTTTGACACCCTAGCTATTGGTACCAAAATCTACCTGCATCGCAAGGTCTAGAAGTTGAAACATTTAGAAACATGTCTGAAGGACATCTGAGCTATTTCTACCATTTCTATATTTCTATTGTTGTTACAAGTCAGGACTTACTGGGGGAAAAAAACCACTTTTGGTGGTAGTTCTGATTTTTGCAGGACTCAAGTAGCTGGAGTTATAGTTCAAGAGTGCTACATACACCAATATTCTACTGTTTTAAGAGCTCATTTTCTACTTTAGGCCATCCAAGTCAAGATGGGATGTTTAAATATAAGTTCCAATTCAGTTAATGGGATTAAGATGTGGTTTTTACCTGCACCGAGGTTGGTTGGCAGGAAAGCAGCCAAGCCCACAATCTTAAATTTGGTTCCCCAGATGTTGGACGTGACCTGAGCAAGGTAGTTGTGCTGTGGGCCAAAAAGACAAAGGAAGAATTACAATTTATTTGATTTCTTACTGGTTACATAGGAAAAATGTTAACACTGAGTACACGACCAGCAGTACCCATCTTGCAATTTTTAGACCAAAGGTCGCTGGAGCATGCTGGACACCTGTTTCTTGCTGGTGGGATCCAGCCGTTCCTGTGTGCCCATATATAGCTGAAAAGGACATTCAAGTGACACAGGTACATCAAGTTTCACCTTTCCTGTCACCTGCTGTGTCACTGCACTAGAGAGGGCATCTCACTGAATTGCTTGTCCTCGATATCTGCCCTGCCAATGTCAGTTACATTCATATCACTACATCATAAAATAGCCTAATGATCTATTTTCTCACTCTATCCAATTAACATTCAAAAGTGACCATGTACCCAAGGTACAATGGCAGGGTCACCAGTGGAATGAAAACGCTGGAGTCTTCCAGGGGCTCAGAACCCAGTGAAGGAGTCAGGGCTTGGGGTGGTTTCATACACAGAGCCACAGGCAAACATCAGAACTGAGTTATATACCATGTGCCTGAGCCTGCAGAGCAAGCTTCACAACCAAGTTGGTCCTAGGTTTGGTCTGGAAGCAGGGGAACAAAAATTAGGATGAAGAGAGAGATGATGCAGGAAGAACATGAGAGAGAAGAAAGTGGAGAGAGGCAGGTGTGGCTGTAGCAGCTGCAGGGAGGAGAGGTGTCACGGGGACAGGGGAAGGAAAAGGCAGAGCATGACTGGCAGTATGGAACAGGAGTTCTCGCACAGACACTAGGCACCACTGTGGGCAGAGATGGGTGAACACATCTAGTCAGGCGTAAGCTTGGGCAAGCTTCCTGCAGCAGAGAGGCAGCCTGAGAAGGTGGGGCAGAGTCAGCGTCCAGTGTGCATGCACAGTGGCTGCAGCTGGGCTGAAAGGCTGGGAGGAAGGAGGAGGGTTCAGGACGGCTCTGAGGCGCAAGCTTGCGCTGTGAGCATGTGCTACTACCTGAGTGATGTCTTCAAAAGGAAACTCTCTCCGTGTCAGGCTGGGTGAGCCGATGGACGGCTTGCGCATGGGCAACCGTGGAGACCGCGAGATATCCTGGGCAGCCCGGGGAAGCTTGGGGGATTTCCGGGCCTCAATGCTGATCCTACAGAGACAAAGTTACGAGAATCAGGCATCCACAGAGGGAAGCACAGCTGCAGCCCGGACCCTACGGCAGGCCTCGTCCCTGTCCGTGAGCACGGGATCCTCGGTGGCCAGTGTCCTCATTTCACAAAGCACCCATCATTGCCCGCTTCTGTATTATGAGCACGAGGAAACAATCAATACAACTGAATTATGCATGAATTCTGAAAGTATACTGACATTAGATCAAATGATCTATGTGTTAGGAACTGGAGAGGATTAACTGTCTTTCATTTTCTACTAATGTCCAGTAGATTTGGAAGTACCCACACTTCTGCCAGGGCTTATCACTGGGAACATGGCAGGCAGGAAGGGCACTTCTCACCCTGAGGTCACAGTGACATTCTGGATTTCAACAGACTTAGTTGGCATTTTACCATCTGCAGTACTTTATATATCAAATCGGCAAATTTAACGTTTTTCTGCCTTTTGATCCTATGTTGTCTTTCTGTGCCTCAATTCCTTTATTTACAACATGGAGACACATACTCAATGCTGGCGAACCCCAAATGAGAGTATGATAAAAATGAACATTGTTAAGCTTTAAAACATTTTATGAAAAAAATGCATGAAGGGGCCCGGTGGCGTGGCCTAGCAGCTAAAGATCTCTCCTTGAATGCAACGGGATCCCATATGGGCGCCAGTTCTGATCCCGGCAGCTCCACTTCCCATCCAGCTCCCTGCTTGTGGCCTGGGAAAGCAGTCGGGGACGGCCTGGAGCTTTGGGACCCTGCACCAGTGTGGGATACCGGGAGGAAGTTCCTGGATACTGGTTTCGGACTGGCACAGCATTGTGTCCATTTAGAGAGTGAACCAGTGAAAAATCTCCCTGGCTGGCACATGTTCTTCTCTCTTTGTCTCTCTCTCTCCTGTACACACACGTTTCTCTCACTCTGCATCTGTGGCTCTGCCTTTAAAATAAGTATTTTAAAATAATACTTAAAATGATGAACTTTCTTACCCTTCCAATGTTTCATGATTTCTGAGTACTTGAGCGGAGAAGGCAGTCAGCAGACAGACAATGGAACCTTCTGTCTTGTGCTCAGGCCCTTTCAGGGCTGCCATGTAGCCATGCCCGGGTCCCCTGCTGCCCGTCTTCCCTGCTGTGGGTCTCCTTGCACACAGCAGGCAGAGTAGTGGTCCTAGCTCCTTCCTTCGGTGAGCTCAGTCCCCTCTCCTTTGGAGCTCCAAGTTTCCCATCAGGCTCACCAGCAGTATAACGTGAGGCTTCATGCATTTTTTTCTTTTTTTTTTTTTTAAAAAGATTTATTTATTTATTGGAAAGTCAGATATACAAAGGAGACAGCCAAATGATCAAATGATGTGTGGGAATGCGGACAAGTCAGAATTAACCTACAATGAGATACCATACATGTCCAGTGGAATCAGCAAGATTCTTTTTTAAAAATGACACTGCAGCTGTGAGTGAGAATGCAAGCAACTGGAATACTAAAAAATTGCTGATGGGAATTCAAGTCGGCACGGCCACAACAGAATCATGTTTGGCAGTTTGCAGGGGAGTGTAACACAGACCTAACCCACAACATGGCTCCCTTCACATACGCAAGAGGGAAGAGTGAATACGGCTACTGGAGACAGAATGTTTGCAATGGATTTATTCCTAACAGGCCCAAGCTGGAAACTATTAAATACTCTTTGTTTGGAAAAGAGAATAAACACATTTTAGCACAGTTATCACTTTGAAATACCTTACAAAAGTGGATAAATCTCAAAACATCCTTATAATGAACATGACAGTTGATAATACAAGTACATACTGTCTGGAAGTTCAAGAATAAGCAAAGCTCACGCCTGGTGATGGAAGCAGAGGTGATTCTCTCTGGGGAGCTGACAGGAGGAAGCACAGCTGCATTCTGTGAACCCCTCGCACTGGGCACACAGTGAGAGCTGTGTGCATCTGCATGTAAGTCACACAGCATGCAACTTTAAAGCTAAGTCCACACATGAGAGATGTCCATTTATATCCAAGGCCACGTAGCTAGGGTTTCTCAGAGCCAGCACAGAGAGGGCAGGAGGCGCTCCTGTCTGCACCATCACACGCCCTTCCTCCTACTCTTAGCTTCCTGCTCCTGGGACCTGGTTTTATTTTCATTTACTAATCTCATCTCGAAAACAGCATCAGAGACATTCTCTCCAACACAAACGACCACTGCAAAATCTCTTTCTTCTTCTTCTCAGACTAGATGGAAAAAGAAGCCAGGGAGCTATGGCCCCTGTGCTGCTCACCCCTCTGGTCCCCCCTCAGAGAAGCTCCAGGGGTCAACAAACACCTGATTTGCTGTTGTCTTACATCCCAAAAAGAAAACGCAAAGAAAAGCTATTATTCTAGGAAGAATCTTTAAGAAAAGGCCCTGAGAACAGAGAGCGGCTGTTTTTGTAACTGCCCTCTTTTATTGTTAGTTTCTTTGTAAAATATCTTAACTAAGTTCACCTTTGGCAGACTAAGTTCTGTAACTGGGCAGCATTCTGGACCCAAGATGGGTTGGAATGTCCTGCTGGTGCCAGTTTTGATGAGACTCTTCTGCAGGCACAAACCTGGACATGTCTGGTGGCACAGGAGAGGGAGAAGTGCCCCTGGAGGCCACGATTACCTTGGGAGTTTGGGTGACTTGCTAGCTCTGGAGATTTTGGGCGACTTCTTGGCAGCCCAGTCATCGCTCAGCTCGATGTCGCTGGAGTCTGAGCAGTTGCAGCTGTCGATCACAGTAGAAATCAAGCTGTTTCCATAGATTTCATCTGTTAAGACAACACCCAGCAACGTGAGGGAAATGCCAACGAGGGCCCAAGGACAGTCACTGCTATCAGGCCAGGACTTCAGGTCCAGGGCTTGAGGTGGCAGCATGGCCATTGTTTCTTTTTACATTTCGAGGTTATTATTTCTTTTTAGGCAAAAGTAGGCAATTACTTCTACTGCTGTCAAAATGAGCCTGGCATTTTAATGCCCCCGAGGAATGTACAAAAATAGTCTGGCACTTTGCTGAAAGCAGAAACCAAGATGGCTATGCTGCTGTACCTCACGACGCGGCGTTCAGCTGGGCCCCTATGGACTTTCGGGGGCCCAGAACAGAGCTGCCTGCTCACAGACTGGTCTGGAACCTGGCTCAAGCCTAGGGAGGCCCTTGCTGTGTGAGGCCCGCTTGCACAGTGGTGCTGTCTGGGCTGTTCCTGTCCCCAGTCTCTGAGAAAGCCATATGTGGAATGGCAGGCAGGCATTTGGGGAGTGAATGAACAGAAAGAAGGTCTGCTCCTCTTGTCTCTCCTTATCTATGCAATTCTGCCTTTTTTAAGTTAAAAAAAAATCTTAAAAGATCTGTGCAGCAGACCAGGCTCACCCTTCTCAAACTCTCCATCCACTGCTGCTCCTGTCACTGCTTGTTCTGGCTTCTCAACCCTGCAACCCTAAGTCCCCCACCAGCCTATCCCAGGTCTGCCTCCAATGAGAACCCACTTCTCCAACATTTGTTTTGCCAACTAAGATCTCATTCCCAGAGACCCCAAAAGCCCTGGCAGGTAATCAGAAAGTGGAATCATCTCAGTACAATGAAACACTTCAGCGTGGGAGCGAGTTTTCCATCCTTCCTTTTACAGGAGGACTTTGTCACTCCAAAGCTCTCTGTAAGTATCTGAGCATGTGGAGGTCACATCTATGAACAGGAACTTTCTGGAGCAGAGAAGCTGACACACTACTTGGGCAGGAGGCCAGTGCCCTGTCTGTGCCACCTACATCACCCCATTCCAAAACTACTGACGGAATTCAAATGGCACAACTCACACATCCAGCAAGTGATGGTGATATGCATTTGAATTACCTCAAATAAAAGGCCAACTTCCCACACCCTGGAGCAACAGAGCACTGTTGTATTAATTGACCGAAGGGTCACTGGGACTAAGGGAAGCCCAGCTATGACTCCAACTTGAAAGCCTCTGTGTGTACATGAGCTGAGAGGAAATCCAATTATGTACCATCCATCCAACCACCAGGATCCTCCTCGATGGAAGATTCCTCAATGAGAGGTGCCACACCCGTTGCTCCTTTTCTTTCACTCATAACTGCTTTGTAAACAGTAACAAAACATTGTTCATTCAGAGAGACAGTCAGAGCTCCATCTGCTGCTTCCCTCCCCAAATGCTTGGCCCTGGAACTGGGCCAGTGCTGAAGCTGGGGACTCAACACAGGGCCGCCAACATGGCTGGCAGTGATTCAATGACTAAACTCATCACTGCTGTCTCCTGGGGTCTGCACTGGCAGGAAGCTGGAGTCAGGTGATAAAGCCAGGCACTGAACCTGGGCAACCTAAAGGCTAGGTTAACTGTTCACTCTACCAGATTGTCAGTATTCCCAACTGGTGGGTGAAGTTGTCAAGGGAAGGAACTTTGCCTGCCATTCGGTACTCACAGAAACTAGGACATTTTCAGGGACTTGCTAATACTTCCAGAAAGAACAAATGAGCTGAGCGGTGGCAGGCAGAAGAGGTGCTTTCCGAGTGTGCATCTGGTGGGCTGCTGCTCAGAGTTGCAATCATGCCTAGGAAGGGCCCCTGCTCTGCCATCTGCCATCACCACAAGTAGAAAAAAATCTCTGCGTTGCATTGGAGGAGCTAGGGTGGTAGATGTGTGTATTTTGTACTTAGAGAATCTAAAGTTGGCATCAGTCACTGGGAAACAAGACCTTAACATGGATCTTTGGGTTTAATACCCCTATTCTGTCAATTTTCATAAATATGTTCATTCTTCTGGATTGAAGGCTTTCGGAATATGCAACCTGAATTGAGTATCATCTTAAAGTTTTGGAAGTCAGTGTTTAAAAGGACAGCACTTGGCTTTGCAGCTGGAAAGCTGGTTTGGGAGGGAGGCAGGCATCTGAGTGGGAGTCCCAGCTCCTTTCTTGAGCCCACTTCCTGATAACGCACACAGGGAGGTTGGGGGTGGGGCGCGGATGATGACTCAAGTGGTTGGATCTCTATTCTCAAGGTGGAAAACTCCAGTTCGGTTCCTGGCTCCTACATTTAACCTGGCCAAGGCATTGGAGGCATTTGGGGAAAGAACCAACAGGTGGAAGCTCCCTTCCTTGTTTCTCAAATAAATATTAACAACCTTTAAAAGCTGTCTAGGGACAAGAGTTGGTTCTGCAGTTAATAAATGATGCTGCCTGCTGTTCCTGCAGGCCACGTGAGAGCACTTTGTGGTCTGAGTACTGACTGCATCTAATTCTGACTTCCTGCTCATGCATATGCTGGGCGGTAACAGGGGAGGAATTGAGCATGTGGGTTGCTGACATCCACAGGCAAGATGTGGACTGAGTTCCTGGCTTTGGCTGGCCCAGCCCCAGGTACCATAGGTATTTGGGTAATAAACTATCTCTGTTTTTCAAATATAAGTGAATAAAAATCTTTTTATTTTATAAAGATTTGTTTAAAGTCAGAGACACAGAGAAGAGGAGAAACAAAGAGAAAGATCTTCCATCTGCTGATTCACTCCCCAAGTGGCCACAATGGCCAGAGCTGAGCCAATTTGAAGCCAGAGGCCAGGAGCTTGGAGCTGCTTCTGGGTTTCCCACGTGGGTGCAGGGTCCCAAGGCCCTGGGCCGTCCTTGACTGCTTTCTCAGGCCACAAGTAGGGAGCTAAATGAGAAGCAGGGCTGTTGGGATTAGAACCAGAGCCCACATGGGATCCTAGTGCATGCAAGGTGAGGAATTTAGCCACTAGACTACCACATTGAGCCCACACAAAAATCTTAAAAAGCAGTTTTAATGACTTAAATAAAGCCCCAAGTTTTCTCAGGTTGCCATAATGAAATGCTGCGGACTTGGGGTAACAGAAGTGAACTTTCTCATAGTTCTGCATCTTCAAGTCCAAGTTCATATCGCTGGCAGGTTTGGGTTCCGGTGAGGGCTTTTGTCGTGGCTTGTACATGGCCCTCTTCTCATTCATGTGCCATATGGCCTCTCTGCTACATACATGTAGTCTTCACTTAACCTTAACTACCCCTAGAAGCCTTAGCGCCCAAAAGTATTACACAGTGGGGTAGATGTAAACAGACAAATTTGGGAGAATGGACTTCAGTCCACAGCAAGTTCTGACTGAACACTGTTTGAAAATTTCTGGATTTTTCATTTAAAAAAAAAAAAGACTGTTATCTAGAATAAAAAATACATTATTAGTGATCTTGAGGAATACATCTGTCAAGCTACTTGAACATATGCAAAGTGGATCACAAACTTGACAGAATAAAAGCCAGCTAGGTAAGCCTGGTATGGTAGCCTAACAGCTAAAGTCCTCACTTTGCATGCGCCAGGATCCTGTGTGGGCACTGGTTCGTGTCCCAGCTGCTTCACTTCCCATCCAACTCTCTGCTTGTGGTCTGGGAAAGCAGTAGAGATGGCCCCAAACCTTGAGACTTTGCATCTGTGTGGGAGACCCCAAAGAAGGTTTCCCTGGAATCAGATAGGCTTGGTTCCGGCTACCGTGGCTGCTTGGGGAGTGAACCAGCGGACAGAGGAACTCTCCCTATCTTTCCTTCTCTCTGTAAATCTGCCTTTCCAAGAAAAAAAAAATACATATATATATATAATATGCCAGCTGGGAAACCTGCCAAGTCAGATTCCGGAGTGGCCCACACACCCTATTTTGGGAAGCTTTGATGTGGAGGCTTGAGCCAATCTGGTTCTCATGACAAGAAATTCTTGGCTTCTCAAAGTTTATACATACACCATTCAGTTGGCAATTAGTCACATCATGCCTTGTGGCATGTTTTTTATTTGTGTGCTTGGTATTTAAATCATGACTTTTTAACTGAACTTTCCAAGTGCTTATCGTACTAAGGCTTTGCAAACCCTTTGAAAGTAGCTACACTGCACTGTAACAGGATACAAAGATGACCTGGTCCCCTTAGGCCCTCAGGAGTCAGTGGCAGGCAGAGGAAGGCTCCAGGGTGCTGAGAGGCATGGACAGGGTGCTACTAGCTCTGTAGCAGGTGGTGGGGGAAGTCACTCAGGCAGGTGGCAGACCGTATGAACTGCACGTGTTGACAGGTGCAGAAACCAGGCAGGCACTAAGCAGCACAGCAGAAGAAACAGAGCCCTTTCCCCTGATGGCTCAGCAGGGTCGCGGCCCAGGGAGGCGTGGGGCAAGCACCTCAAACACAGCAGCTGAGTCATGATCAGCATTGGGCGGAGATTTCAGGGAGACCAGGTGATTCACGGTGTCAAAATCTTTATGGGTGGAGCAAGACATCTCATTGGCATTCAGCTAAGAAGCAGTTAATCGTAGCTTAGTGAGGGCAAAGGCAGGAGGCTAAAGGTTTGAAAAAATTATTTCACCTGCTCTTGAGTTGGGAGAGGCTGCATTTCATTCTTTTCAAATTTCCTCACTATTACATTAATATATTCAATGAATACCTGCAAAATAACCCAGCGGGAGCGGGAGCTCTCATTCCCAGAAGGCCCGAGCCTGCTCCCCCTGGACTGAGAGAGCTGCCCAGAACAGTGTCACAGCCTGCAAGAAGGCACACGGACACAACCACTTGCCTGAGTAGGGCTGAGGCAACATGGAGCTTTGGGGATGCTCAGGTGGTCCCCCTGTATAGAAACAGCCCGCAACCACGCAGGAGCGAGGCCTCGTCCACCCAACTCACCTGACTTCGTGTCTGTCCGTGGGTCCATGATGACGAACTCGGGCCGCAGCTTGCTGACACGGCGCCCCTTCAGGATGGGCACAAGCCCACCCAGGTACTCCAGGTAGAGTGTGTAACACGGACCACCCACTTCCGGGTCATCCTCCGTGCGCTTCATGGTGCAGTGAAGCCGCTCGTTGCCGGCAGAGGGGTAGCTGACAAAGTCTCGCATGTTGTTGGGGTCTGGAATTGGGGGCTAGAATGAGGGGCATGGGAGGAAAAGCAAGTGCTGAGACAATGAGAGAGGGAAAGAGGGAGTACACGAGAGACACGAGAGACACGAGGGCTCAGTCACTGTAACTGCCACAGGGCACAGCCAGGGAGAGGGCAGGGCACGAAGCTGGGATGCCTAACCATGCTGCTAGCAACAGAATCCTGGGGGCTCTGAAACACCTGTGCCAGCTTCCTGGCTCAAGTCAGCTGAATCGAGGGGTGGGCCTGGACATCTGCATGTCCTAATACAACAGCATAAGACAGCTTGGGAGAAGAAACCCTCCGAAATTTGAAAACCCTTATGCTTCAAGGCAAAAGGAAACCAACAAGTCAATCTAAGAGTTAGGAGTAAAGACCGAACACAAACAAGAAGCCAGGTGTTGGGGACAGGATCCACTGTGCAGGTAGGCCTCCTGTACCGACGGGCTTCTGGAGTTTTCAGTCAGTGAGACAGGCAGCTGCGCCTGAGCTGGGGGGAGAACCAGTCTGAGATGCCGGCCTGACAGCTCCCCATCCAGCCATGGGCCAACTTAACTTCTCCAAGCTTGCTTCCTGCTTCTCCAGGTGAGAACAATGGCAAGATCCTCGAGAAGGGACTGACGGGGACATGTGCTAGGTAAAGGTTCAGTCCTGTGATCCCCAGGAAGACATAGGCCCCACGCGAGCCAGGAGACAGCATCTCCCACACAAGGTGAGCCCTGTGAGGACACCAGCAAAGGTGCTGGAGGTGCACTGCTGGCACGGAGGAACCTGGTGGGATCCTGCCAGGCTGTGGGTGGCCATTGCTTAGGCATTCCTGTCAGGAAGCAGACAAGACCCCACGCGCTTGCTCTGGCCCCTCGCCTTCCTCCTGGGCAAGCAGCAGGAGACAAGAGCGAGAGTGGAAGGCTTTACCTTGATGGTGGGGATGAAGGCCGTGGAGAGGTAGGAGCAGAGGCGAGGGGGCAGGGTCAGCTTGCTGGCGTCCTTGTCCTCCCGGAGGGCACTGGCGATGGCCTGCTGGCACAGCAGCTGAAGGCTGGACACCCGGTGCTCCACACGGACCACGTACAGGGCTGGGCCGGAAGCCATCAGCAACCGGGAGTCTCGGTGGCCCCAGCAGATGGAAATGATGGGGCGCTGTTGCAAGGGGAGGGAAGGAAGTTAAGTTTTTGCTCTGGGGATAAACAACGGAAGATAATACGGCTTGCCCTAACAAAATGAAATGCAGATAGCTTAGAGTACTCAAGCACAACAGGAAAAGGTTCAACATTGTATGACAAAATTTAGTGTTTTTTTTTTAAGTAGTTAGATTCTTACACTGGAGCAAAAACAACGCACCAACAATAGTCTGTGATTCTCTCCAGGGTCTGTCTTCCCGAATTTGGGACCATAAAGCCAGTGTGGCTCTGCAAAGCGCTGCTTCCACTCAGGGGGCAGTTACAACAGGTACAGTCACCTATGCTCCTCACTCAAATACCGGGGATCTGGATCCCCCAATTACCCACAGTGGTTTCCATGGTCCTTCCCTTCTGTCTCGGGGGTAGCATTTCATGTCAGACCAACAGCTGTGGTGTCACCAGCAGGTTGACCTGGGGGCCACTACAGAATGCTGGAAGCCTTCCACCTTTCTCCTGAGCTAACAGGAGCACCAAGGGCCACAGGAGATGGTGGGGTTGCGGTGCCCACACAGGGCATGGGAGGACATGGACCAGGAGGGAAACAGTCCCTGTATGGCCTCACTGCAGAGGCAGAAATCAAAAAAACGCCAGCAAAACTGCCAATCCCCTGAGCTTGGGGCTACTGTCTGCACAGCTCAGCGATGACGGAACAGTCAGGTGAAGGCTGTAGAAGCGAGACTAACTCCTTCCGATTCAGGCAGATGGAGCCCTCATTTAACGAGGTCCCAAGGGGTTTCAATGATCAGCCTTGGGAATATCAGCCCTTTGATATGAGTGACAGGCAGGAACAGAATTTTCACAACACATTAGTAACAAACATCAAGATAAAAAGAATATGTGAAGATATTTCCTTAAAATAGCCCTTAGGGTCAGCTGATCCCGGATTCAACTTCAAAGCAAAATGCAAGGTTGAAGACTTCCGGCTCCACTGCACGAAGCAGGAGGCCCAAGGGCAGCCTAGGGCTGCAAAGCCTGAGAATTTCAGGCCGAGGAGGTGGCTCACCCAGAGCACAGACTCCACAGGAGGAGCTGTTTGTGCCAGGAAAAGCACTGAAAAGCTGCTGAAGCCAGGGAAGACTGACAAGGTAAGTCCAGGTTGCAACAGGGGCTCTATCAGTGCCAATGATACTCGATCTTACGGCATATACTGCTTCCCCTTCATCTTGGAGCCCCCTCAAGACAATATTATTGACATAGAGTTCAAGTCATGAAAACCAGCTGTCATTGTAAGACTGACTGGGGCAGGTAGCAGCAATTCAAGAATTCTTTCCTCCAAAATCCCATCTCACTTTTGCTGATGTCCCTGAGGTGACAATGGTCATATGGCAGGGCCACTTATCTTTATTCCTCTGTCCCCTCCTTACTTCTGCTTGTCATAATAGCTAGCTCTGTGCAATTACTGATTACATGCTTTATATATAATTAACACTGTGATGAATACGTATCAGACACCTTTGTACCAAGAACTTCAGCTACTTACAGAGCCTTAAACTAGATGAAAACCCTGTCAAAGACCAGCACTGTGCAGCTGCAGGTTCAACTTCTGCTTGCCAAGCTGGCATCCCACAATGGAGTATACGTTCTAGTATCAGCTGCTTCTGATTCAGCTCCCTGCTAAGGAGCCTGACAAGGAACCTAACGATGGGCCCTGCCACCATGTGGGGGACCTGAAGGGAGCTTTGGGTTCCTGCTTAAGCCTGTCCAGTCTGGACCATTTGGGGACTGAATCAGAGGATAGAAGATCCAAAAGCTAGTCTTTATTTTGTCATTATTAAACTATTAATAAATTTTGTTTCCCTCCCAATAAAACTCACACCTTAAAAAGGCCCATGTTACCTTCCCTTGTGTAATTATCATCCATCACATCAGAACCACCACTACATTCTAGCAGCACACTAACGCTTACACGTTACTTAGAGTCATCTTGCCTCTATGACATTAGCATTGTATTAACACACATGAAACCATAAGAGGCTACACAACTTATAGTAACTGGGAGAGCTCCAACTTCATAGTCACAAGGTGCTGCCTTACTATGTGTCAGCGACAGCTAAGGTACCACCTGAGTCATTTCGGCAGAAAGAAAGCCCTAGGCCACAAGGACCCACAACAGCCATGAATGAAGGTGCCCGTGGCACAGCAGCTGGACAGCAGATCTGGGAATGGAGGGAAGACCGTGTTTCTCCAAGCTGGGTGCTGTGTGCTCTCAGAATTGTCAGGCTCCTGGGAGGTAGAGGACTCGCAAGATTGAAGCACTGAAATCGAGCACCCAGGAGAAAAGAGCTGTCAGTTCTCTGGCCTGGAGAAGTGACACCACAGGGTCTCAGAGCAGCTATTACTCTCTGCGGCAGTAAGAATAGGGCAAGGATGCCAACAGGAACTGAGACTAAACCACTCTGGGGACAGCACCCACTTGCCCAAGTTAGTGACAGTTTATTTCAACCAGGGGTGGGAGATATTTGTTGTTTTAGCCTTTACAGCATTTATCCCATGTAAGATGACAAAGCAGTAAAACAAATGCTGCTACCTTTGTCACAATTTATAAAGCTGTATGAGTAAACAGAGGAAAACTTGCACACAACTGTTGGGGTCCGTGCAGTAGATGTGGGGGACATGAGCGGGTGAAGGGTGTTCCATTGCAGGCAGGGCCACAAGGAATTTCCCTCTGTTCAGCAGGACCCGCCCGGCGGATGTCTCTACAACCACCTGAATGCAGCTCCACCTTCTTTTGCATGGACATTGGACCATCCTGCGGAAGAACTCTAATCCATCCTGGCATTTGCTACTGCGAGGCTGGCCTTTTGCTCAGCCTGAGCTTGGAGGTCAATGTCTTGCAGAAGGGCCCTTTATCATTCCTACTGTCTTGGCTGTCCCCATTGAGCCTATGCTAATCAAGGGATCTAGATTTAGGCTTTCATTCTTTCTTCATTTTTTAGATTCCCCTTTTCTTTGTGATACAAGATTGCATTGTAGGATAAGAATTGTAGCAGGAACTTCTAGGTAACACTATGGCAGATTTATCTTTAGAAACACCCACTTGACTGTGATGTAAAAAGTCTGAGCCAGAGTTTGACTGATTTTGTATAAATAAAGCAGACAGCTATTGTGTGTCGTCCATTATGATCATGAAGTCCTAGTGGTCCATCTCTTTCTTTCCTCTTTGCGCCTCATCCACACACCCTTCGCGAGTTCTGAACTCAGCTGGAGCTGGACTCCGGCGGTCAGGGGACAGAACAATGCCAGGATCACCGTCAATCCACAGAAGGTTTCTTTATGGGGGATCTTTTTTTTAAAAATTCTTTTTCTTTTCTTTTGAAAGATTTATTTATTTATTTATTTTATTGGAAAGGCGAATATACAGAGGAAGATCTTCTATCCAATGATTCACTCCCCAAGTGAGTGCAATGGCCGATGCTATGATGATCCGAAGCCAGGAGCCTCTTCCGGGTCTCCCACGCGGGTGCAGGGTCCCAAAGCCTTGGGCAGTCCTCGACTGTTTTCCCAGGACACAGGCAGGGAGCTGGATGGGAAGTGGGGCTGCCGGGATTAGAACCGGTGCCCATATGGGATCCTGGGCCTTGCAAGGTGAGGACCTTAACCATTGCGCCATCGTGCCGGGCCCGATTATCTTCTTTTCAAAAGTCTCTTCTCTCCTGGTGATGCTATTCTTCCTGGGTCATTTACTGGCATTCCAGCCAATAAGGTATTTACTGCAGAATTTGTACAATATTGGGAGGAGCAAGAGTCTGGGAGTGACCACATGTGCCGGAGTCGTGGGGCCCTCGGAGGGCTGAGGCTTGCTGTGGTCCCTGTGACCTACCCCAGGCCCCGCAGCACTCACCCCCTACACCACCCACACAGCAGCCTTTCTCCTCGGCAACACCCACCTATGGGATGAGGCCTTGGGATACAGAAGGGTCCATGAATACGTGGCTTTCATGGGTCCCTCTTTATGTAAACAGCTGCTCTAAGTTGTCGATCTCATTTCTTTCTCAAATCACTCAGTGACTATTTAGAACCAGTAGGCATGCCTTTGACAACACAAATTCTGTGGACGGGGGTCACTTTTTGGTACATCTCAGTCTGAAGCAAGAAGGCACGAGGATGTGCTGCCTTCCAAGGAGCAGCAGCTGGCAATCCAGAGCTCCCGACATTCATGAGGGCAGTGGGAGCTCCCAGGAGACGCGCACTCACAGAAGTCAGCTGCTCTCCTCCCAGGAGGCTTGGTGCCACAGCAGTCTCATCTCTCTTCTCCAGTGCAGCAACAACCTCCTACTATGTTACCTCCTCTCCTGCCATGCACATCTGCTGTGCATCACCCAATCACTCACGCACCTGCCGAGCTGCTCACCAGCCAGCTTGTGAAACGTGTTCCGTGTTTACAATGGACCGGTTACATTCTATGTTGAATAAAATCAGTTCCCTGCCCTCATGGAGCTTCCACTCCGGGGTGGCAGAGACAGTGAAAGGTTGCACTCTCTGAGGGGGAAAGCAACTGGCAGGAAGCAGAAATACAGTGGGGAAGGCCTACAGACAGGGACTGCTTTCAGAGAGATGGGAGCAGGGAGGAACGCTGCTGCGAGGAGGAGCAGGAAGCTGTCTACTGAGTTGGCACCGACAGCGACCTCACTAGATGAGATTTTTGCATGTAGCAGTGAGCTGGACAGACTCTAAAAATGACTGATGAACAAAATGTGGGATTGTCCTTTACCTGTGAAAGGAAAGCTGTATACACAGACTAAGGTAAACACGTGACAAAAGTGTTGGAACAAGACGGTCAAGTTTGGGCTGCCCCAGGTCCTGGGCGGAACACGGGTGACCTGCAGCCAGGACTCTGAAGCCTCTCTTTCCCACACTGTGTGCCTGTGTGTGCAGAACAGGGAGCGTGTGAGTATAAGCGTGTGTGCGCCTCCCAGAAGTGCGTGCCTGGGGAAGGATGTCTCATATTTGCACAGCTCA